CTTTCTTTCTTTCTTTCTTTCTTTCTTTCTTTCTTTCTTTCTTTCTTCCTTTCTCTTTCTCTCTGGTGAGTTTCTCTGAGTCATAGTGTCCCATACAGCATGAATCCGGGTTGAACTGAGACAGAGAAGCTTACACAGCACTGCCCCCTGGCGTCAGTGAAGAAAAGATGCTTTCGCTTGTCTGACAGCACATTGTTTGTTTCAATGTCTCTCACCATATCAGATGTGTTCTCACATATTGTGTTTTTACACCTTAAGAATAAGATAGTTCTGCTTGGCGTGCACTCCACCAATGAAAACAGGAAGGTTCCATACAATGTAAATCATTGACTCCCCGTAAAGCTGTAGAACCCCCAAAGAAATGGTTATCACATATTTTATTTACAGTTATGATTGTTGTTAGTATATTCGAAATGGCTGTGCTGCAGATCCCTTATAGTATCAGGAGTTCAGATAAAAAACAGTTTGGTGTTAGTATCGTATCTATAAAGTCTTGAAGTTAAGGTGTGGACAGAAGAGATTTGGGATTAAAATCTAATTTTATTATAAGACAATGACAAATGTTTGATAAAACATTTACATAAGTCTATTTAAACAATCAGAACTTTTCATTTTCAGTTTGAAGAGCCAGCAAGTGAAACCAAGATGGTGAAGAGCCTCTCGCTGAATGAAACTATCAGAGAAGCTACAGCTGGCAACAAGGAGTAACATCCAACACGGAAAAGCGAATGTGAGATGTCCTCATGTTTGCTAATTCTACTGTGATAGATAAAAAGATGTGTGACTCACAGCGCTACGACAAAAAACCTGTGACATGAAACGTTCTAGTTCAAACCGTAAAAAGAAGGTGAAGGTAAGCTAATTACTCAGTCAGTTTTGGTATGGGGAAATGCCTGTTCGCGATCATCTGTCTAATGCTAGTGAAATGGGGATTCAGGGGGCCAGTTACTTATTTTGGAGCTGATAGATGTGGCAACATTGAAAGGCCTGGACTGTAGCCTACGCTGTGCCAGCAGATGTTGTGATTCAGACCTGACTGCACTGTGGAATGTTCTATTCAATCTTTTTTTTTTTTTTATATCATAAACTTTTATTGTCATTAACGCAAAAAAAGAACTGGAAAAGTTTCAAATGGACAAGGCATGATGCATATCTTTTACGTTTTACCACTGTCCTCTAAAATGTCTGTGCAGGACATCTTTTAACTCCTCTTTACTCTTGACGTGTACTTTGTTATTGTGAGACTGTATCATTTCTGTCTAGCATTAGCAGTTATTTCCAAAGCTGAAATCAAAACTTTTCACTCATTTGAAGAAATAAAAAAGCATCAAGTTTCTTTAGTTCTTATGAAACTGTGTGTCTTAAACTGCCTGGTTGGCCACAGCTTAAATGAAAAAAAAAATCAAAGTTTGTGTTAAAATTTAATGATAGATAAACTAAACTAATGGAAACCTTCCATGAAAAAAAGTCTACTCACATTTAAATGTGAAGGAAAAGAAAACTTTACCACACCCATACAATTCCAGCTTGCTCTTTATTTGTGCTCTTAGTTAATTATCACTGACTAGCCATGTACCAGTGTGTTTACTCTGTTTCCATGGCCACCCACAAAAGCTCAAAGGCCCACCTCAGAGACACCGAAACTACCAAAGCTCACCACGCCCATATTAACCTATTTTGTGGGATGGATGAATGATGGTGTTTGGGATTGTTCTCAGGATGTTTAAATGGCCATTTACACCAGAGACATCATTCTTTCTCCATCTCTTTCTCTCACAAATGCACACAAGCGTACGCACGCGCTCAAACACACGTGCACAGCATGAGAGTAAATGTTTACCTGGACTTGCATCACCTGTGTGTGGCCGCTGAGTTCCCCACCTAACCTGACCTTTTCCTCACCGGTGATGTAACTGCTCACAGGAGCAGGGAACTGGAGGCTGGTGTGTTGGAGCAGTTTGATCATGGGTAAGATTTAACTGTTAAAGAGCAAATTCATAACATGTGAAATACTCACCCACATACAAAATATCCATGTGGCAGCAGGTTTTCACGACACCAAAGAAGGGTTGGAATTTTTTAAAGAATTGAAAAGGAAAATATGTTTTTGTGATTAGTTTAATCAAATGAAGAGGCTACTTTGGTTGCAGCAGTCGGAGTACACGAAAATATTTTAGGGATTAAAGAAAGTGAGTGTTTTATGTGAAATGCTGTTTGAAGGTAAAAAAGGCCAGTATCATCTTTAGTTTTTTTCCTGTCTTACCTGTAGTGTTAAAAAAACGTCTGATACCTATTGTTAATCACTCAAGGAAAAAAAAACATCATTTTAAATTTTTGTAAGCAAAAACGACTCTTAATCCAATGCCTTTTTCAGCTCAAATGATCTTTCTAGAGCTATAGAAAGAGCTATATATGCGTAGCTGTATGTTCTGCACATACTATGTTCATTTTAATAGCCAAAGCTAAGACCAAGTGGACCTATTCCTGGATCTTGAAGATCCATATCTTTTAGTTAGTAAAATCCAATTACCTGAAAAACTGTTTTTCTCTTCTTGTACTGCTGGCCATAGATTTGTGTTGCAGCTTTTTTTTCTATATTTTATATCTGTTTGGGGTCAACAAGAGGAATGAAGACTGAAAAGTTTGTGTGACAGGAAGATTTTCTTCATGGTTTTGATATCTGTGTGGATTAGTTTTGCCAAATACTTTGATTCCTGGACCCAGTTTTGACCATCGGGGGCATTCTTGTGCTGTCTTATTTCAAAACATGTCACCTAATGAACCACTGTGGAAACCAGAGCCATTTTCACTTTATTTATTTCCCTGTTAGTGAGCTATGGGTTCACTCCATTTCTTATTTTCCCAATTACCAAGACGAGGGCATCATTCAATAGCTGGTGGGTGATATCAAAACAATCCAAAAACAGAACAAACCAAAGGTTTCTGTGTCAATGAGGTCAGTGGAATGACAGAAAGTGTATCTGCAACATCTGTCTGAATCCTTCCAGATGTTTGTGTCCACTGAATTTTCTTTTAGCCAAAAATCTCATCTTGATATGACAATGTAAAGCATCTGCATCAGGTAGAAATGGACCGACAACACTTTTATGTAACACTGAGAAACTTTATTAAGACGAATCAAATAACATCACTTCTCCAGAGTGAGATGAAGAAAGATTCTCTGACCTATGACAAATGCAACGTAATAAATAAAACCAAATCTAGGGAACAGTAAAAGTCTGAATGCTCAGCATTCACACATACCAGACATTGTAATAGCAATCCAACATACAAACATTTAAGCTGTCGTTAGCAATAAATATTCACACTAATAAATTACAATCTAAATAAAGGTGTGGTGTTTTCACATAGCGTCTAATGAAGTCTTCTACTGCTCTCGGGTCGTCACACTCCTCTGCCTTCCCCTTAGATTGTGTAAGTGGCTGTGGAGAGAGAAAAAAATTCACTACATTTGTCAAAAAGCATACACAAAACTTCATGAACCTCATGGATAACATTTATGGAGCTTTGAAATGATAATATTGATCTCAGTTGTTGGCTGAAATGCATCTAGCACCTTTATCACAGGTTGTAAAGGGGTTAGCGTCTTATGACGGTAAATTACAAACTTCTGAAAACTGCTGCGATAAAAGGAACATCACCACTTTTCGTTCGATTAATTTGAGCTGTCGCTTTTTCTAAAGGTTCAAGACGGCAGCATCTAAACACATGACGTCTGTGAGCGTGTGGGCATTGCTTATGAGGTTCTTGCCACATACCAATGAAGCAACGGACCTCTAGCAGCCAGGTCTTCACGTGTAAACTAAGAGTGTGAGCACGATTATCATTTGGACACACAGGTGAATGTGTACACTGGAGTGTGGTTTTCCTTTATGCCGGTACATCCCCGGCTAATCCGGCCTCATGCCTCCAGTAGGGATTCCTCTTTGCGTGATGCAACTTGATGTGCTCAACAACAACAACAACAACCGGCAAATGGGTTTTCCCCTCAGCCTACTCATTCCTGCCGGCTTAAGAGGCGCGTGAGCGGGGCCTAGACAGACTTAAGCAAGACTTTCAGAGGAAATACATCACTGAGATTTACCCCACCAGGAAAACAGGAAGGCACGATTGCGTGTTCTTATTACAATACAAAAAAAAAGGGATGGACTTAGATTTGATTTTCTGTTTTATTTTTCCACATAAGGAATGGACCTTGTAGGAAGTCCCACTCTCGTAGTTACAGTCCCTGCTTTGCGTTTGCGCTTCACAGTCTTTATTTTTTCGTTTTCGTTTTGTCAGAAAGAACTGATATCTTTGCACACCCATCGTAAATTGTTTGTGGCTGTTGTGTTTGCCTGTGTAAAAGCTAGACAACCAGACAGAGCTGCTAAGGTGCTAACAGCCAAAGTCCAGGACAGGGACTCATACATCTGATAAATGCTTAAGCTTGAACGAAAATTCCTGTTTGTTTTCATCAGTTACAACAAAAAAAAAGTGTCTCTGGCCTTGGAATCAACATTTAACATTGTTGAGTTGATACAGTAGTGACTGAGTCCTTTGGAGCTGTGAGGTAGTATAATAGCTGCTAAAAGTAGGTCATAACCTCAGGTACACTCACCTCGTAGTGATGTGGGGCTCTCAGACCACAATGTTACCAAGAGATTTCTGTAGCTTCTCCTGCTCAGATCCACTTCCAAGAAAGGATGCCATGAAGTTTTTATGAGATCTGTAACTGCAAAAGGTTTACAACGTCAGCATGTGATTGGCTGGTTAAGCTGAGGGGTAAGAGTCTGTGCCCCATTGGGGCAATTCTATCCTTAAAAAAGACAATTAATTAGCCCCAAACTGGCTTCATTTAATAGAATTTACCCCTCTCTAACCTTCTTCCTTAAACGATTAGAATGTCATTTTTTGTGGTACTTTCATCTCTCAGTGAGAAGTTCCACCTCATTAGTATAGTTAAATTGTGGCTGTAAAACCTCACAGTAATTGTTCTATAGCACACTAAATCCATAGTTCACATTTGGTCAGATATTGATAATGGAGTGCTCTTATGACGTATAACGCGCTCGCAGTAAAAAATGAGTAATAGTCCGAGGGGGCACAATGAATTGGTAAAAACTTAACCTACTTCACTCCAGGTCATGTTAACCGTAAAAGTCCATTGCCTGAATGTGGTGAGCAATGCTTGTATTGTGTGGGTGTGTTTGGGTGTGTTAATGTGCTTTTTGATGTGTCAGGGCATTCAGAGGCCAACAAGTGTTTCTGAGCTGGAAATATGGATTGCTCTATGTGTTTTGTTGGGATTCATGGGTGTGGATCGTTTTTTTTTTTTCAGTCTTCTTCAGTTTGCATTTGCAGTTTCACAGAGTAAATGGCATTTTACCCAAAGACTAACAAGTTCACTGTGAGCCAGGTGCATTGAAAAATCTCCTTACTCAATGGATAAACCAAAGTTGTGTTGTATCAAAAAACTTTGCAAAGAACCACATTTTCTTGGCAATATATAATGCAATGTGTGTCAACTTAGGACTATTGCGCAGTGCTGCCTATGAATAAATAACAATTCGACTGGTTTATTCCTAGAGGCAGTGAATGAGGGAGGCTTTTAAACTCACTGAGCACAGGTCATGAGCAGGATGGCGCAGCAGCTGATGGAGGACAGGATCACGGCGATAACCACCAACACCATCTGGACCAGCTCGCTGCTGTAGCCCTCGTCGGGTTTGATCGTCTCCAGGGTTTGGATCCCACAGCGCTCTCCGTCATAACCCTTCATGCATCTACAGAGGGAGGAGGAAATCAGATAGAGATCCAATATTCTATCATTTGAATGTTTGAATACGGTTTGCAAGAGATGGATGGATGGGTGTGTAGGTAGGTAGGTAGGTAGGTAGGTAGGTAGATGGTTTTTACTCACATGCACACTGGCTCTTGCACGCCATCCATGTGCTTGCAGTAGCCATGGATGCAGTAGCCCAGGTGGGTGGAGGTGCAGGGGTCCTCGGTGGTGCTGAAGGCGGATGTGTGGCTGCTGGTGAACACCGTGTGCTCGGGGTTAAATGGAGTCGTGCTTTTGCCCTTGTGCCTGTTCCTCCTCCTGCCTTTGCCTTTCCTCTTCTCATCTTTGCCGGCGTGCGCCTCTGTGACAAGGAGCAACGGTTTCCACATTTTACACAAAATCTCAACTGAGGGTTTCTCATTCGAAGACGCAATAAGGAAAATAACAGGTTGAAGAGGTTCCCTGTTTTCATACCGTGCAAGAGGACGCTTTCGCTGTCTCCTCCTGAAAGTTCTTCATATACTTCCGGCTCGTCATCGTCAGTCAGCACACCCCGGAGGCCCTCCCCAGAGGCTGGACCCCCCGTCACTTCAGCTAAATCAGACGAGTACCTGTCCTTAGATCCTTCAGCGCCTCCAGCACTGCAGATCACTGCAAAACCAAGGGGGCACAAAATAATTAACCGTATTAAGTCGACATGGAAAACATAGAGATGAAGAGGCATTTGACTTTTTTTTTTTCCCTTTTAGCCTTTTACATTTTGGAAGTTCTGAAGATTCATAGACCAGAAAGGATCTCCCTTTGGCTGTTTTGCATCATAAAGGTCATAACGCATTTAGCAAAAGTTATCAAATCAGCCACAAAGGAGTTAGAGGGGTAGATAAACTCTTCCGCTTAAATTAACCTACAAATATGAACTTTTCTGTGTTTTTTTTAATACAAATTAGTTATTATTCGAAAGGTGCCAAATGTTTAGAACTTCATGGCTCACTGTCATCCGTTTGTAATAGAGAGAGACTAATATAGGGCTATTTTAGCTGTGGTGCCAGTCTAGAATAATTTAATGTCAATAATTTGAATTTAGTCATCAGAATATCCCAAAAAAGGATCAAACTAATAAAACTCTTACACGGGATAGCTATTACAAAATGACTTGATTTGATCTGTTAAGAATCAGAGGAATGTGACACCATTCCTTTTTCTCAAAAATTCCTGAAATCATTCTAACAAGTCCTAACTGGAATGCTGGTTCTTTCACCACCTCCTCTCTCTTCACACTTCCACTTTCCTTTTCTCTGATGTACGTAAGAAATCTGCAAAATATAAGAACAAGTCAAGGCTTACCAATGCAGAGGAGACAGATGAGGACGAAAGTGTTCATATCCCGGGAAGAGAGTGTGTGGTGTGCGGCGGTCCTGAGCTAAACTGTGTCTGAATGTGTGTGTTTGAGAGGAAGATTCTTGCCTGCTGATAGAGATTGTGTGCTTTGGTCTCTTTACCTTCACTGGGTGCAGCTTTTATAGAACAACGCCTGCCTCTAAAACCCCAAGGTGACAGAAAGGGTGCGCGTCTGTGTGAGGGAGAGAAGGAAGGAGCAACAAGTGTGCGTGTTTGTGTGTTTAATAATTAACTTGCCCCGGGCAACACATTTTGCACCTTATGTTCTCATATTATGCCGGGGAATAATTACAATGAATGGGGTTGTAACGCAGAAGACTTTGTTGTATTCTGACCGGATTCTTGTCCCCATCAGAGGACAGAAACAGCTGTTCCAGCATCTGTAATCATTTCTGTGTCTGTAATTGAGTTATTTGAGGTCTTAACTATGGTTAAATGCCCAAAAAACAGAACTGGAAACACTGCTTTTTACATATTTAGCCAAAGGTTCTTAACAAGTGGAAAAAAAATGGAGATACAACATATCCACTTGGCAACAGAGATACAGATGTAAGGTTTTGATGAATTACAACCTAGGGTCATGATTACACCTCACACAGGGTACAAAGTTGGTCTGAAGAGAAAGAGAAACATAAAGTACCGTTTACTGACTGAATGTGATTGGAATCACGACCAACACTGAAAAGCTTTCATTCTTGCTCCATGCCACTGGGATTACTTATTGACAAAGACTCGATCCCGTTTCCGCAGGTCAAAGGTTTGAGAAGAACAGAAGACATGTCTATGTCTCACTATGCTGAAGAGCTCCAGGTTAAAAACTTTAACAAAAAACTCAAAGTGGCAGAAGGAAGAACAGAGATCAGCATCCAAATGATGGGTAGAGAGTTCACCAGATTCAGATTCAGATTTGCAGTTATTTCACACTCCATTTTCAATTACAAACCTCAAAAGACATCTGATGTTTTTGTGATTGTATGTGATTGATCAACAGTTTTATGCACACATATCATCGATTTGCTGTCCAGGGTGTACCCCGCCTCTCGCCCATTGACCACTGGGATAGGCTCCAGTTCTCCCCGCGACCCCGTTAGGGAATAAGCGGTATTGATAATGGATGGATGGATGGATATCATCGATTGGTGAAAGGCTGTTCACAGCTGGTGATGTGAAATTCTGCATTAAAGTGTTAAGTGTATTTTATAACATCATTCCATCTCACTTTACTTGGTTTGTAATTAAGTGCTCTTGTAATATTCCAGAATGTTTGGTCTTTCAGTTTTATTGGATATTGCTCATTGTATACGTGTGTTGATAAAATGATGCCTTGTGTTTCTATTTTAGTACACCGTTACCAAGGAAAGACCTTAAGGCATGGGTGGGGAGGCAGCACAGATGGGTGTGTTGCTTATGTTATGTCTGTTGAGAGAGGCCATCCCAACACACCAGCTCCGGTGGAATCCCTTCAAAACTTGTTTGGAATGAGATGGAAATTCTCCCTCTCAATCCAGTTCAACGGCAACCAGAAACTCCCGGCATGTTTTGTTTATAAAGCCATGGACTGAGATTGTTTGGATTGTGCTCGGCGGTATTGACGATACGTGATATGAATGTGTGGAAAGCCTGACACGTGCCCGGAGAGACGCTCTCCACAACAGCCGCCCACTGTAAACACACGGCTGCCTGGCTGACAGCAGGAGGATTAAAAATTCTGTCATACAACTAAAGAGGCCTTCTCTCTGGTGAAAAAAAACATTTTGCGACATCGACTACAATTTCAAAGATTTGAAAGGATTCAAACACCTAACATAAAAAAGATAATGCTCTATCGATGGGCTATGAAATCAGTGGTTATATTTAGCCACAGACAATCATTTGAAAAATGTCTGTTATGAAATATTAATCTCTGTCATGCAAATGATGTAAGAGATGCTAAGGCTAAACCAGAAATGTTTTCATGCTGTATCTAGGGGAAAGGTTAACTGCCAGAGTCCATACGCAACTATTATTTTACACTAAGTTTGAACAGGAACTTGACATTAATCCTCTGGGGACCATGAATCTTTAATTTATGATGAGATTGTTGACAGATACAAAAGCGGTCCATCCTGAGGGGATCATGGTGGTCCATCCGGAAGGGATTTTGAAGTAAAACTAATCAAAACGTTGGAATAGCGCCGGAAGCATGAGATGACCCAGCTTTGAGCAGCAATATAAATTGCGATTTTAGTACACGTGGAAACCTTTGTTTTGCCATAGGACATGCAAGGATGCAGCTCAATGAGGCTTTCCTTCCACCAACATTACTCACCATATGAGCAATCTACTATAACTTACGCAACAATTAAGTAAGACAGTGAGCACGGCACCGAGATTAGGGCAGCAGCTCCCGATTTAGGATATGGCTATCCACTGGCTTTATATTTAGAACAAAACGGAAGCCACAGAATGGGTGTGTTTGCGGCTCTTAGCGTGTGTAAGTGCATGCTAATGTGTTTTTAAGTACGTCTTAACACCGCAGCTGAGTTAATGTTTATGGGTCGGCATCGCTCGCTAGTAGAACAGAAAAAATGTGAGGGGGCTGGAGTGAGGTGTTGGTCATGGCTCATTGAGTCTGGATGGGGCACAAATTAACATGCGGAGACTTCAAATCTCATCACTTATTAACTGGACACCAGACACACTACCCAGTACTGAAGGTCAACCGATGACTGTAGTACCGATCATACTTTTACTGGTGCTTACTTTCCATTAATCCAAATTAGAATTAAAGGTGCAACTTCCACGATTCATTTTGATTTTTTTTTTTTTATATTTAGGAAATCCTGCTTTGAATTGTGGCTCAAGTCATGGGTTATGCAGGAGGGATTTTCAAAGATCTACCAAAGGGTTGCATGTGCTTGAAAACAATTAAAACAATGCAACATGTGTAAGATGTGACTCATTTCCTCTTATTTTTTTTCCTCCATTCTCTTGTGGAGCATCATGGCAAGTCGAATGGTTTATTGACTTCCATAGTTAGGCCAAGGACACCTCTTGGTTGGGACACCTCCCCGGTTGGTGTTTTCCGGGGTGAAACGTGTCTCATTTCGTATAAAGCAGTGAGGCACGAGCCCCAAAACAGAAAGAGGTGACCTTGTGCTGTAGATCTAATCAAACCACATTCAATTAACTTCTCAAAAACACCTTATAACCCTAACTCAAAACCAACCTTAACCCTAAACCCTAACTCTCACTTTAACCTTAACAATCCCTCGTGGTCTCAAATATCTTAAGTCGATACATATTAGGATTTTCAATGGAATCGGAGGCCCAACCTCACCAACACAACATGACAAAATCTAGTGGGAAACAGTTTTAGATACAGGCTGGGTTTCTATACGTTATTTGTATTAATATAACAACAATGACAATCAGTCAAAAAATTAAGTTTATGCTCTTTAAATCTATTAGAGTTGGTGATTTGAATTACAAATGTTGCATCAGTTGAACAACACAAACACTTGACATTGTAAGCCGTGTCATTATTAATCTAATAAGACTGAAGTGGTGTAAGAAAAGCTGCTGACACCACCAGTTCTATAACCTGTGGAGCCAACTGAAGCAGCAATGTCTCGAGGATAATTATATATTTTTGACATGGTTAGTCTTCACATTGTTCCGGAGGAGTCTTGGTTACCTATGCATTACAGTTTATTTAGATTTGCATGTATAGTTTTGTTACACACGGGGAGAACATAAAAACCCAGATGATTTGTTTCAGTATAACTTTAGATTTTGGATGAATAGATTATATTTTAATGTTGACTGAGATTGAAAACCCATTTTGAACGATTTGCTATTTACAAACAATCTCTCTCACTTCTGAATGGCGGAATCAGAATGATATGAAAATTTCTTTATAACCCTTCTCAGAAAGAGCTGATTTATTTTTTGTATTTTTTGTGGCATTGCTGTGGAGCAGCGATCTGCAGAAACATCTGCTTTTTTAGAAGTGCTCACATTTAATAATGACCAATTAATCAAGCAGCCAGTCGGCAGCACCTGGCTGCTACGTTGTCCCTCTAATAATGTGGAAGAGAGCATACTCTCTGCTTATGCTTTGTTTGGCGTTTTAGCTTTAATAGATTAACGACACAATGTAATGCAAAACTTTGACTTTTAAGACATGGTGAGGATCAGAGATTTTGGATTTCCCATATCCATAGACAATAAATGTTAAAAGAGTTCATTCTTTATGTTTTATGTTCCATTTTTATAGATGTGAGAAAAATCCAGTTGGTCAGAGTTATAAGAAGCACTGTTCCTTCTAAATGACAGTACAATGTCGTGGAGCTCTCAAACAGCATTATGAATTCTGTTACTTTTCTGTTACTTTTTCATTAACTAATTAGAGCCCATTTGATGCTTAAAAAAACATCTTTATTATGGTTCACTCCACCGCTAAAACTTATTTCAAGTAACATATCAATATTGAAAAGAAGTAATAGATTTTTAAATGGGTTTTATAACATTTGGGTATTCGGCATGTGACTGTTCAGAGAAAAGAATAGTTGGGATAAACACATACATGAAGTTAATATTTGAAAAATTGAATGTTTAATTCGTATCCCATTTCCCATCTGTTACTCCTTCCAAACAGACACTATAAGCACAGCAAAAATGTCATGCACTAAAGAGAAGAATGGGAAGACTTTCAGCTATGCCCTTATCAAGGTTTCTGACAGCAATGACACATTCAGGAGCCAAAAAAAATCAGGGCGTATTCAATTTTTTGATGCAACAGAGCTTTCAAAACAGACAAGACTCTATTGTATACATTGTTGCTTTCAAAAAAGTTATTAAAACTTGTTTACGAAAAATCACAAATAACGAAACATGGCGTGTTACACTTGGACAACATTTTAATGGCTGTTATAATAACAATAGTGCCTTTTAAAATGCCAAATGACAATAAATATATAAACGTTAAAGCGTGAGACACATAAATTAGAAATAAAGTTTAAAAAAATACAACAGGAAATAATACATCCTACGTAGAAGATGGCTCCGACTAAAAATAACTACAGCACAATGATGACTTTACTAATAAGACAATTGCTGTCTGTCTGCTTGTGGAAACACGAAGAGGTTTTACAGACAGCGGCCAAAATGTTTCAAAGCATGAATCACTACAAGTTAAGACGGTTTCTCTGGTCCGATCTTATCCCTCACATTTGTTCATTTTCTAAGAGTTTTCCACCATCATGTGGGTGGTTTCACCCACAGATACTATTCTTGTGCGTCTCACAATTCATCTTTTCAAACTGAGTGTAACAGGTACCGAAACTTGAGAACCAGTACAGCTGGAAAACGGTCGCTCCGCTCACAAAGCTGTTTCTTTTGACCACCTTAATCTCTTTCTGGTGATCAACCTGCTTGATGAAGCCTTGCGACATGCGGTGCTGCGGCTGGGAGAGTGAGCTTGCCTAAAAACATCAAAGACGGGGGAACTTTTTTTTAAAAAAAGTTTTCGATAAAAAAATTTAAAAAGGAGAAAATACTGATCCAGCAGCAGATGCAGCAGGTGTGTGTGTCACACTAAGCATTCTGGACTCCTTTGTAGCCGTGCCGCTTCTGCTGGCGTGGGAATTTGTTTTTCCTGTACCTGTGCAAATGAGACAGAACACAGCTGAATATGCGGGCATAAAAATTCATTTTCATTCCATTCATTCATTTCCAATTTGTTAGACATGAGTAGTCGTCCTCTGTGGTTCCAAATCTTTCTGCGTGAAACGGGACGTTTTAGAGCTTTTAGGTTCAAACTGGGCTCTCTAAACAAGCCGTGAAACAATGGCAGAACATCCAGAATTCTGCTGCTCCAGTTCCGACCAGAACCAGGAAATACAACCATATCAGACCAGTGGTCAAGTCCCTTCAGTGCCGAAGCACGTCTCTGTCATGTTAGAGCATGAACCGGCTCGAACAAACTCTCAGAACCTCTGGCAGTGGTCTGCTGCTGGCGCCCGAAGTCAGAAACAAACAAGAGGAGGCTGCTTTCCAGTTGGCCAGGCTGCTCTAAAATCAACTCTGACAATGTTATATTCCAGGATGAAACCTGTTCTATTTATTTTAAAAGTATTTCGTCTGTACTCTTCACCTTTAATCAGCTCAACCAGTGATTTAAATATTTTAAATTTTGTTGAACCTGTTCCTCATTTTTGCTTTCAAACACCTACATTTTAATGCATATTTCTTTATTAATATTGTATGTAAAACACTTTTAATTATCTAGGACAAGAAATGTACTATACAAATAAATTTGCCTTGACTTATCTCAAACATTCTAAAAAACGATTTGCAGGTTTCAAAGGTTGTCAGAATTATTCTCATGTTTCAGTCGGCTGAACAGAAGAAAAAACTTTCAGAAAAATGCATCTGCAGTGTTAAATTAGGGCACAATAGAAGAGTTTTGGCTAACATAAGCATAAGGATGTATGTTTGTTTTTTAACTGTCAGCTGATCAGAATCCCCTTCATCTCTAAGACACAGTCACTGATAAAGACTTCTATCATCTCCACCTTAAATGATACCTGATGCTGCTGCTCTCTGTTATTAAGCGGCTGCACTCACACACACACACACACACACAGGCATGCACAGACGGGGGGGCCTTACCACTTGCAGATGAAGTAGAGCGCTCCGGCCAGACCTATCATCAGCAGACTCACGCAGAAGATGATGAGGATTACTTGCTCTTCGCCCATTGGCCGGAAAACCAGCTCGGGGGCGCCGCACCTGGGGCCGCTGAAGCCCTTCTCACAACTACGGAGTCGGACACACAAGGAGGAGTCAAACACAGTCAGGCCCCGTGACAGAGGTTAGCCTCCCGGCCTGAGGGGGGGACCTACTGGCAGTGGTGCTCGTTCATGTCCACCAGCAGCATGCACTTGCCCTTGTTCAGGCAGTAGTTCTCGTGGGAGCTGCCGCAGGGCTGAACGGAGCGTTTCACCACATGGGGGCGCTCTCCGCCCTGTCCTGAAACAGCAGCAAAGAAAAAAAACCCGGCCCTTCACAAAGCGTTTCGTCCCCCTTTCCATGAAAATGTACGCAATTTTTGTGTTTAAAGCAACCGTGTTATTATTGGTTTGGATTTGTTTTTGCCTTCCGCTTTGTTTTTTTTGTTTTTATATATAGCTTTTGGTTTATTACAGATTTCTTTAAATTCTGTCATTTGTTTTACCGTCAATATTTGTCTCTGTCTTGTCTTGAATTGTATTTTGTCTGTGGGTTTTTTGGTGTTGTTCTTGGTTGATCATTTGTTATCCGGTGTCTTCTGTTTGTGTTGGTTTTGTCTTTATTTGTTAGTTCCATAGTTACTTTCATGCTTTGTCCTGTCATGCCTCCGTTTTGTTTTTGTTGTATCACATTTGGTTACTTAGTCTGATCATCAGCTCCACTCCCTGGGAGTTTGTCCCTGGGAATAGTGATTCTACAATCTGGTAACATGGTGACACTCTGGGAGGCACAAATAGCATTTAAAATGTGTTTTAAACCAAACTCTTGTTTGGTGTCTAATTTTACACCATCACGTTTTAAACAGTAAATTGGATGTAAAAGAGATACTAAAAACATGTTAGGACCAATAGGGGGCTGGAACCACTGCATCTGAGACAAAAAGTTAGAGACTGGGGTCAGTTTGACTTCACATTAAAGTCCTCTGAGTTCTCACCAGCTCCAAAATGCCTTTCTATCTAATTCTTAATTGAAAAGGATGTCCACAAATATTGTTTGAATGGTTTCTGAAGACACAAAGAGACAGTATTTATCTATCTATTGAGAGACAAACAACCAAGTCAAATACATTATAGAAAAAAGCCGTCAGGAGCATTAAGAGTTTACATATTCCACTAGTTCCACTCTGCTTTCCAAACTGCACTACCCAGAACTTTGTGGGGGAAATCTGCTGGCAAGGGGGAAACAGGATTACTTTCTTTGGTTGCTCTAGGAAATACCTGCTGATAAAGATGAGCCGTCTCTGGTTTGCAGTCTGGGGGAGACACCTTTGGTGAGTACACAGGGCCAGATCAGCATGACACCTGTGGAAAAACAACAATGGAAAATAAGTTAAACTTGCTGGATATACGATCGAAAGGGTATGATTAGTAAGGATGTGTTGTATTATGAAGGGGGGTTAAACCCAAAAGGTTACTGCGACTGCAAATGTCACAAAACCACATTTAAGGAATAAATAAAAAACTTGACACTGTGAGGCTTTGTTTGTGTTTAAAGAGAGTGTATTTCCTGTAAGTTGTGTATGGCTAACATGGATGATTGTTTATCTGTGTTAATGTCCCATTTTTTCTCAGGTTATATCTGATTCATCAAGCAGAGTCAGCTCATAAATCATAGCCATCTGCATCAGAAATGCAACAGAAAACAGCATATTCAGGGGAGACTCAAACCATTCATTTGCATAAAGGTGTCCAGAGTCACAAAGGTAGTGAGAAGAACCAAAGATGCCCCTGTCCCTCCTAATTAAAGTATTTGTGGGTCAGCATTAGCAAGAAATTAAAGATGTTTGTTGTTTTGCGAACTCCGTAAGAGCATCAGAGCCAAAAAGGATGATGTTAACATTTTTTGGTAGTTATTTTTTAACAGTTTTTTAAACCTGATATCAAACAGGAGACGACGTCCATTTAACTTGTATATGTGAGTTAGTAATGCACTTGAAACATGTTTCACAATTTCTATCTTTTGCTTTAGTGACAGGGTTTACTGAGTGGAGTGGAGGTTGTTTTCTAGATTATCTCTCACTGTTCCCAATGATAACTTGTCTTTTTTGTTTTTTTGTAACACAGTACAGAAGTATTGAGGAAAAATACAGAAGTGATGAATAGGGTAAGGAAAAAAACTAATTTGCTTATAGTTGTATGAGTGGCTCCCAGCTGTCGGACGTGACGTGGAGGGGCTTGTGCTTTCTGGTCCACATGTCTGCACTGGTCCGCACAGATTTACAATGCGTGGCATTTGAAGACGCCCACATTCCAGGAGACAGCACAGGAAAACACAGAAACCTTTAATGCAAGATCTGGCTGGTTATGAATCTGGCAATACTCACTAAAAAAAACTCTGTCCCTTCCTGCTGCAGCAGATTCAGAGATGTTTCTGCCTGGTTTAAAGTACAGAGTTATGAGGCAGACACCTATTTCTCTTTAATCAAGTTTTTTTTTTAATCAGGACGGTAGCCACTGACCCACTATTGGCAAATTCTCATGTTGCCAGTTGAGGTGAGAATCCTGATTTTTTGATAAACATAAAACATCACCAAATAAGCTTAACAGAGGAAGATGGAGAGGGTCCCACTGGAAAATTACTGCAGGATCTAAACTGTCTCACCTGAAACCAGGTAATTTAACCCTAGCAGGTGCAGTAAGCCGCTTCAGTATCTTAAAGACGTTGGAAGAAAGAGACGTAATTGTGCGTATTTTTCAGAAGGGTCAAACTACCAATATGAGTCAAGGAAATTTTAAAAAGCTGCTGAGATTCATAAAGCGCCTAAAACATGTTTTAGGAACTGTTTCAAAACTTTATTTAAAACCTGAGAGGCCACAAATAACCATAACCTTTGAGAAAGCGATATGGATGGAAGAAAAGTCATAAAAAATGATCATGTCCATGTTTGGGGAGATCAAATATAGGAAAATGAACAGAATATCTCAAAGCAGAGGGAGAAATAAGAGTGTTTTCACAAAGTAAAAAGAATTAAAGGAAATAAACAGCTGTGTTGCCTTGAGAAAAAAACATTTATCAGCAAGGCTCATCGACCCTAAACAACTTTAACCTGCAGAAAGTCTCTTTAACCAAAAGAAAAGGATGATTTGTTCTGTTGAGTTCAGATGAACCCCGCTCCACAAATAAAGGTCCTGTCATACCAACTGTCTGTAGAAGAAGTCAGTGGGGGCAGATTTATGATCTGGGATGGGTTCAGCTCAGGATGGCGAGGTTCCACGGACTAACGCTAAAATATCAGGTTTTTCTATCAAAAAACATTTCCATAATGAATCCCTGGATTCGCTGAGCCTAAAACAGTCCAGACCATACCCCCATGAAGAATCTTTTTTACGATAACTTGGGTCAAAGTTATCCAAAACAGGACCTTTCTTATTCTCATAATATTTCATAAGCTTGTTGAAATGACCCAGAACCAAAACCCACTGGATGTGATAACATGGTGATGGCAGCAGTGGAAGGAAGCATGTGTTCATGTGAATGGATATTCCTCAGCATCCCTTAGCCCCTGAGCTCAGCATCACTAACTCCACCATGTTTAGGTTTTTCTCTATCTATGTTACACGTTGATTTGTGGAATTATTTATATATTTTCATACAATAAGATACACTATCGCTTTTTCAAAAGCAATCTGGGTAGAATTCAAAAGTGCCGAAAGCCGGATTTGGCCCAAAAGCAAAACTCCTTATGTTGAAAAAAAATACAAAAAATAAGAGAAGGATCCAAAGAGATTTGTTATCTGTTTGTAGATTTAGATCCTGTAACTCTTTAAAGTGTATCTATATATGGTCAAATGTGCTTAAATATTCCCACTGTTACTTTTTCCTAATTTTATACATTATGTCACACACTCTAAAAATGTAATTACAGGCATGATATATAACATGTCACCAAAATACAGTCATATCCATTCAGGTAAATTGGATAGTGTAATTTTTTCTCATTTACAGCAGCGACATTTATCGAGATGTTTTAAGGCTGCAATTCATTCAGTTACAATCCTGATGGCTGTCACCCAAAAACCCCTCAACTGCTGCAAACTATTTCAAATATATCAATCTGTTGGTTACTCTATGGGGGGGAAAGAGTCCAGCAAAAATAAATAAAAGATCAACTCAAAGAACCACGATGAGTTGGCTTGATATTTCTAAACTCGAGTTGATCCGGTTAACGACTAACTTATCAGCTGAAAAAGTTTTTTTTTTCAGATATGAGAATCTACAAAGAAACCTTAAGTAAATACAGAGAGTAGCCTCTTCTGCTGCCTTTTCGGCAGCAAAGGCAAATTACAGGTAGAACCTGTTTTTTTTCTTTTCTTTTTTTTTTTTAATCATGCATAAATCTATCCATTAAAAAGCACACACATTACCGATAAGAGACAGGAGCGCTGAGGGTTTGCTGTTCCCCATTTTCGGAGTCGACAGGTCGGCAGCAGCGATGAGCAGCTCTGACTCTTCCGTCTTGTCCAAATGGCTAAAACTGAGAGGCGCGTGCCATTCCCAGGAGACGCGAGCTGGAAATCAGTGGGCTCATAACCGCGAAGTGGGTGTGGTGCACCTTTCATTCGGTAGGTTCAGAGTTGAGGGGACCACTCACACACCCCGGACCCCCGCATGCAGACACAGCTGCGCCATTTACGCACACGAGGACATCCAGCTCACAGCTGGCGCGCGCACAAAACCAATGTAGAAACACAGTAACAAGAAGGGTTTCGTCCAACAAGTCATGAGATTGAAAACCGTATAGAAACACAAAAGCAAAATTTCTCATGATGCTTATTTTTAAAAACATCCCCTAGCAATCCGTATGTTTAGTTATTTTCAAGTCTATGAATCAAACTTTTAAATCAATACTGCACTGAATGGATGTGAAAATATTTTTTTTCAATCCTTTAATCCTTAGGAAGTGTTCTTAAAACCAAGTTGGCTGCTTTTGTTGCAGGATCGTTAAAAATTCAATAAAATCATCCCACATTTGGTGGGTGGCTGAAGATGGAGGACCCAGAAAACGAACAACAGGCTGCAAAGGCTGCTGGAAAAACTAACCCATAACATCATCCATCCTTCCATCCATCTGTCCATCCATCCATTATCGTTACTGCTTATTCCCTAATGGGGTCATGGGGGGAACTGGAGTCTATCCCAGTGGTCAATGGGCGAGAGGAGGGGTACACGCTGGACGGTCCTCCAGTCCATCGCAGGGTCCCCATAACCTCACTTAACCATCCAAACTGGGAAACAAGAAACAAAAAGATTGTCTGGAAACAAAAAGACTCATTCATAAAGGAGAGTAAATCTAAATCAAACAATGTGGAGGACAAAAAAAGAAGTCAAGGAAATCTAACCTAAGCCCTGAAGGTTCTGAGCTTATAGCCATTTGAAAAATCCCATTGTTTTGTGAAAGCAACTGAAGAAATGGAAACAATGTTTTGGTCCATTGAACGCAATACTTTCACATTCTGACCTGATGGTAAAGAAAGAAGGCAATGTAACTGGATTTTTGGGAGTCTCTAGTCTTAACAGACACCCCCCTCAGTTTGTCTGTGGATTAATGAGCACTTATCCTTCAAAGGAATCTTAAAGTCAAATCAAACAGCCGTACACCTCTTTTGAATTCTAAGTTTAATGTTTCGTATTACGGTCCTTACTGTTCAAATAATAACAGCAAACTACACGCCGCCCCCCCCAACCACCAAACTAATGACTCGCAAACACAAAGATGGGTGAGCACAGAAATTCAAGCAACACAGAGATACCATTTTTATGAATTTATTTTGTGTAAAAATTTAAATACAACTGAAAACAAATAATTTAATTATCACAACATAAACAATAAATAGGTGTCTGTGGCCAAACTCTTTCTTTCAGTAGCAACGCCGCGCAGTGACCGGGCCTTTTCAGCACACAGTGCTCCATCAGGTGGGATGGAGCTCGGCCTCCCCTGGGTCAGATCTCCATTCCAGCAAGAGTTCGTTCAAATGGTGTCAAATAGCCTCGGTGAAGCCGAATCCAGTTTAGGAGTTTTAGACTTGAAATGGTGACGGCAGCAAAGGTGAAGATGATGAGATCACACGGAGGTCTCCGACGATGACGACTTGATCAGGGGGGCCGATTTCACACATCTGCAAACAAACAAACGTCTCAGTCATTATTACAAATCAATATTCTTGCTCCTGCAAGAGTTCTTAGAGACCAGCTTTGAGCTACTTATACACTCACCTTTTATAGGCACAGCAAGAGATGACAACGGCCAGGATGAGGATGACCATGATTACCCCAAAAGTGATGGCGATCACCTCCTCCATCTCGGGCAGGGAGTAAGTGACCTCGCTGAAGTCCAGGCAGCGCGGTCCACCGTGGGAGGGGGCGCAGCTGCAGACCAGAGACACGCATGAGCGCATTCCAAAGCCGAACAGGAACCAACACGTGCGAGAGGCAAGTTTCTAATCATCTTCACTGATATGTTGGGGCCGTATATCACAGCTGGTGCGCAGCGTTTGTTTAAAAAAGAAAAAAACACTTTCAAACTCACATGCAGGAGGGTTTGTTGCTATCCTGAGGAATCATGCACGTGCCACCGTTTCCACAATATGCGGAATATTCAGTTGCGCACGGTGTGTGTAACCTCTTGACCAGAGGGTCTTCCATGTTTGCTGCAGCTGCAAAAAAAAGAGAGATCAGATTAGAGTGTTTTGGGGGAAAATGTCTTTAAATGTGGGCCAGACTTTTTGCCATCAGATATGTCAAAATGAACTAATCTTGAGACGACTGCCAGATGGTTAAGATCCACTTTGTGATGCTATGGGCTCTGGATTTCAGCTAAGTTGCAGGTCATTTTCCCCCTAATGTCCTCCTCTGAGACAGTAAATCAGACGGATGGTACTCACTGGTGATCCGAGTGGTCAGAGAGAGGTTTGAGGCAGGAGAAGCTGTGGTGGTCCTGAGGCTGCCGCTCAGGGCTGCAGGTGATGCTGACCGAGCCGTAGTCAGGACGAGCAGCATCGTCACTGCCGGCAGAAAAGCTGGAAAACAAGGAGGGAAATATCAGAAAACATGAAAACTACCAGCCTTTGCAGAGGGGATTGTGTTGGGTAAGTTTTCTTTTGATATAACTTTAAATCCCCAGCCACTTTGTACAGCCTCACTCCTTTTTAGCACCGTAAGAAATGAAACACCACGTATTGGTTCTAAGTCCAGTTTTGGTAATCAAGAGTGCTTTGATGATATCATTAACTAAGGTGAGGCTGCAAATTACAAAACTAAAACGTATTATTCTGCCTCATTTTAACAGTTTGTAAGTTGATTAAAAAGAATCAAGCCAAAACCTACCCCTCTCCAGGAATGTCTGTCCCTGTGTAAACATCTTTTGTCCTGTCAGTCGGATGTTTTCAGACCTGCGTACCTGTTCGGAATTCTGCTGAGCTTTATATACTGTGCGCCAACCTCCGACAAGATTTCCGCAGCCAATCAAAGTCTTTTTGTGAAAAAAAACATGAGAGGTATTTGCTTCCAAAAAGTCCACCTGCCCCACTTCCTTTACTGTCATGCGCACTCTGCGTGCAGAAACAAATTCTACGGGCTGATGGATGATCGCGGTGGAGTCCCACACGATCACCCAGGGGCCTCTCAAATGCATATTTTTCTTAGGAAGAGCCCACACAAGCCTTTGGGCTGACTAAAAGTTTGAAGCACTATTTGATGGGCAGGCTGCTTCATCAGTAATTCCCAAACCCTCTGTAATGGCTATTTCTGTTGAAGGCATGGCAGTTCTCCAGCAGTGACAGATGAAGGCGGGAATAACAGAAACTGTCAAGAGGATGTCTGTTTAGGCATGAAAAAACGTCTTTGGCTGACACAGCAGACAGCTGACCTCCAGTCATTTGTCGGTCTTTTGCCTAATTATAATGACAACATGGTTAGAGTAGAGAGTTGATCTTCTTGTATTGTTAAACCAGAATACGCAAAACTTCTTAAGTTTTCTTTGTTTTTATATTCAGAATCTAAACACACACACAGCTTGGCAACCTCAGTGCCCGGCTTTTATCACTTTTGCTTTTTGCCTCATTGTCAAATACCACTTGCTAAGACTTGTAGTTGCATTCCCTTATATTGTCAGTGTTGTAATTCTGTGGTTTACATCTCCATTATGATTGCAATACACTAAACGGATCATGACATCTTTTGGAATGTTAAAGCCGTCAAATATGCTTTTATGTTGCTTAAAGAAGAATTCATGGCAAGATTATTAGCTTAATCCTCACAATGTCAGAACTTTATTTTTCTTCTTTTACCTTTTCAAGTAATAAATGTGATCTAGAATTGATTTGGTAGACTCCATTTTTTAATTGATTCACTTATTTAAAAAGTGTGGACTGTGAACCAAACTGTGGATGAAGCAGCCAGTATAATAAATATGGAAGCATTTGATGGGGGACTACACAAAAAAAAGTTTTAAAGTGTGTTTGCATACATGTCCAAAACTAGCAGCGTGACCACAAAGGCGACGAAATAGTAAGATTGTAAATTGAAAGACTATTTATCAATATTCAAACAACGTACGGCCTGATATATGTCATAAAAGTGCAGCAATTAATGCAAATATCACAAATCACATATTCATCACAACAGAAGGAGCCCCGGTGCAATCATTATGGTCCATAGTCACAGATATCTGTTGGATCTGCTTGTTTATCCGATGAGAAGATTTTAAGTGATGGCAGTATCTTGTGACAAAAGAAGAAGAAAAAAGAAAAAAGGCTGAGTTATTCGCACAGACTCATTTTTATTAGGACTTTTGCCCTGTTTTTCGGAGAATGTTATGAACCAAACCACTTCAGTAGAAAAAATACATTTTCAAAAAGTGATATATGAAATAAATAACTCAAATAAACCATAATATAAACACCTTACATAAATAAGATTGCTAAAAATGAATGAGTAAATGATGTGTTTAATGCATCAATGCATTTCTGGCAGCAGTCACAGTGTTCTTCATCAACATGGCGACCGTCATTGGACCAACACCCCCTGGAACGGGTGTGATGAAGCCTGCCTTTTCTTTCACTCCTGTGATGAATTTGAAAAAAAATACTCAGTCATTCATTCTGTGGAATAGCAGCTTCCCATTCAGAAACCTTTTCCATACACCGGCAGGTGAAAGAATAACAAACAAGCATTGTTAATTTTCCGGAGAAATCAATAATAATATTGAGAATTTTTGGGGCTTTTTCACCTTCAAAATCCACATCACCGATGAGTCTGAGCTTTCCGGTTTTGGGGTCCTGGATGCGATTAATGCCAACGTCAATGACTGCTGCGCCCTCTTTCACCAGATCTGCTGTGATCAGCCCAGGAACACCTGGATGACGAAACACAACCCTCAGCAGCCACCGTGACACTTGTGCCTCGTTCTAAATGACCTGCATCGCAGCAGAAACAAAACAATCTGCAGAATCTGCAAAGCAGTTAGTGAGTCACTGTCAGTGTGGACGGCTATCTCCATCCCAGGCTCTCACGGGATAGCAAAACAGAATTCAAAAGCTAAATATCCAATGTAGAAAAAAAAAAGGCTGAGTGTCTGACAGGAAGAAGATGATTGATCAACTCTTTAGACAGTGATTTCTGTTAATAAAGCATTGCATAAAATAAGCCACTACAAAAAAAAATGACCTGCCCACTGCATTGCCTTTGATCATGTTCGAAAAGCTCATTTAAAACAAACAGGAGTTTAACTTGACTCTCCCAGCAGCTTTATGTAACTGAAGAGTCTTTAGAGCTGATTAATGGTCTCACATTCCTGGCATCTGAGTTCACATTTGTTCTTCAATTAAGTGGTAATCTGCAACCACAAAAGAGGCAGAGTGACATCTTAACTCATGGAAATCTCCATTTTCATTATTTACTCTACGGCACTTGAAATTACGGCTGGCAATAGCTTTTCATTATCTCTCCCCATTCTTGCAAAACCAGGAAACACAATTCCCTTTATGGTGCTTCCAGTATTATGAAATTCATCATCACCTCAGGAGTTCAACACTAAAAGTTAGGGGAAAAAAGAATAGGTTGATGTTCCCTTATAATAAAACATCAGAAAATGTGTGTGTATGGTTCAGATTAAAAACCGTTAGGACACTTTTTTAAATGAATACAGAAACAGAATTGAATCAACTCTAAAAAGCATAAATCAATGTTTTATTTACAAGAGAAAACAGGAGTCATGATATAGTAAAAAATCTGACTAATCTGTGAAAAATATTAAGTCTTTTTTTTTCAGAGCCATGATTTCCCCCCTGTGTGGCATTTCCTCTTTTTTATTCAATGATCTGTGAAAATTGGAGGATATCGGATGGGAGGCTTGAATGATGGAAGGTGTTCCCAGTTTTATCTGATCTATGACTCTGACTGTTCAGGCCCTCTGTATCATACTTTGCCTTTCATCTGCCTAATAGATGCCGATGGGTGAAGCAGTAACTAAAAGAGTCATCTCAGTGCCTGGTTGCTGTAAAACCTGAATGAATTCTTCACCACTGACCGTGTCTCCCCTAATGTTTAAGCTCCGTGAGCGTGAATGAACCCCCATACATCAGTGATGCAGGCTTTGGAAACGGGTGCTGATAACAAACCAGACGGTCCCTGGCCTACCTAGTCTTGTGGGGGAAACGTTCACAAGAGTTTCGACTAGTTCCCCTCCAGATTCCGTTTCCGTTGATGAACTTTGGCCCCGAGAGGACCGTCACATTTCTGGATCATGCTCGCACAAAGCCTCTTCTTTGTGAGACAGAACTCAAACCTGCATTTCTGGTTCGGAGGGTGAATACATTTACAGTTTACACAGTGCTCCAACCTGTTTGGATTTGGAACTGTATATAATTAACGGGAGCATTATGTGGAGTTTTGGTTGTTAGATGGTTGACCGCCATGTTTTAAGGATATGGGTGGTGTGCAATAAAGTGGAAACATTATAAGGGAACATTTGTTGGGTTAGCAGCTGATAACCTAACTATTTGTGCCAGTGACTGAATGTTTACCCCTAGAATCAGACATGTAACTGTAATTGTCGACAGGTGAGTGTGAATTGAAGCGAGCGTTTTACTGGTTTTTCTGCCTGTAATTACCTGCAGCTGCAATGATGATGTCAGCCAGACTCGTTAGCTCTTTCAGACGTTCCCTCGGCGTACATCTGTGGGCGATGGTTACCGTGGCATCCCCTGTGAGGTGAAGTGACTTTAAGGGTTAACAAGCCCACAAAGTTAGCTTTTTTTCCCGTTGTGCAGAATATTCTGACCTAATGCTGAAATCAATATTGGTCTCTGCATTCTTCGCATCCATTCTGCTGAATGCTAATACCCTACCAGCTGAGTTGCTCTTTCTGTGGCCATCCCAAGATATGTTTGATCCTCAGCAACTCACAATAATGACCACGACATGCTTGCTGGTGTATGAATGTAGAGAAAAGGTGTCGCGTGGATGAAATGTAACTACAAATAAGAATCTGATATATAAAGTGTTTGTAAATGGATGATGAAGGACATTCTAAAGCAGTTTGAAGAAGCAGTTTCCATCAATCTATTTGAAACAAACATTTAGGCTGAAGCACAGATCATAGAAAAACTGCATCCAGAGGATACAGAAATGAGGAACTTTGATAGTGGCACAGCTTTTACATGAAATAAGATTTTCTAAAGAAATTAAACAATGACTAAATCAAATATTTGAAACTTTATGGGAGACTTGGATGTCACCTCCAGGTGTGGTTGGAGGCCTGACAGATCAATGCTGTTTCATAAGGCTTATGACACTTTCCAGAAACTTCAAGGATATCTCCCCCTGTCCTTACAGGGCTGGTATTCGTAATACAGGTGTGGAACGCGATAAAAAAAAGTCATCACACAAGGACACATTCTAAGAAGATAAGAAACTGTACGCAGAAGAAGGCGAGTCACAGCACGTCAAACCCTTGGGCTTGGTACCGGATGAAATGCGTGTGTGCTTACAATACCAATGTTACAGGGCCATAAAGCTGTTTACACAATCACAATGTGGGGATTTGGCATCTGTCTGGGACGTAAAATGTACAGAAAACAAAGCGGGATTTAAATTGTGCTCTCTGTGACTTAATTTACCTATTATGTATTAATCCACTTTTAAATATTTGTTTTTCAGGGAATAGTTGAGCATGTAAAGGGGTCCAACATGTACAATTTAACTTAAAGCTATAATTATAATATAATAAAAAAAGGATTTCCTTTACTTTAGTTTATTACGCCTTTACATCTAAAGGTTTTAAAATGTATAACCAAAGTAGGAAAGCGTCAGATGGCAATTCAGCAACAGACAACAACAGCCTGTGCTACAGACCTCTGAAAGGACTCTGGATGAAGATGAAAGAGAGCAAAATAGATTTGACAATGCTGATAGTGAAAAATGTGCCTCCAGGCAACTTCATCTGGTTCTGACGTCAGACACTTCAGGTGCCCTTTTTTATAATCAGTTCTGTTCACATCCAGCTAAGCTAACTGAATGCATTCATACCATGTCACGTTACACATTTTCCGCCTTTCACCAAAATTCAGAACACTGCGATCCTGTGGGAACTATTGTGTCGACACAATAGAAGTAGCTGCTTGAAGCAAAATATGAAGAAGAGATAAAACAAACGTCCCAAGAGATCTCAAAGGGAACGTGTGAACCTCAGCATGGCATATTTGCTTGTTTTTCATGACACTGCTCTGCAGTGTTTCGCATGTAGTTTAGAATACAACACGTAATTATGAGGATTTACTTCAAAACACACACACCACCTGCTGAAGCAGTGTTATACCCAACAGAGGTATAAAGTTTGGGAAAACCAAGAGCTGGGAGCCCTAGACGTTCAAAGGCAAACTGGAATTTTACTCATCACTTCATTTAAAAAAGGGTTGCACCACATTAACAAGTTCCTACAGAGGTTAGGTGTTACCTGATACTGGCCCTGTGATGGCCTGTGATAAAACTGGCACGCAAAGGAAACCTGAAACAACGAACAAGACTTCCTGTTTATGGTGGAGTCCCAAAGAAAATGACATAATTAAATATGAATGCAATATAACATTGGGGCGGCGCGGTGGTATGGGGGCTAGCACCATTGCCGGGGGAACCAGGACCATTCTGTGTGGAGTCTGCATGTTCTCCCTGTGTCTGCGTGTTAGGTTGATTGGACATTCCAAACTGATCTTAGGAGTGAGTGTGAGTGTGTGTGGTTGTTCGTCTTTGCGCGTCTATATGAGTGACGGACCATCCAGGGTGACCCCGCCTCTCGCCCATTAACAATTGGAATAGGTTCCAGTCCCCCCGCAACCCCATTTGGGAATAAGCGGTTCAGAAAATGCATGGATGGATATGGCATCGATGACATAATAGGGACCTCGTGTAAAAGGGAGCTGCGGGTGAAATCACCCCCGCCCGTATCAGGTTCAAAATGTTTAGCAACATTTTCAGAAAACGCAACCGTGAAGCACAGCATCAGATTGTGGTATGGCTCTGTTAAACCCCGTCCAAAATACTGTGAAAAATACAGGATAGTCTGAAAAACCTGAGAATCCCTCAACCCTGAAAAGTTTAACTAATATCATCATACCTAAAAACTTCCTTTATCTTTTAAAACTGGATGACGTTTTTTTCTATCTTGATTGTAAATCTATATTCATACTTATCTACATAGTCTAGATTTGCCTTTTGGTCATCGTTATTATTCTTGTATGGTGATTTCTTATTCTGTTTCTTCAGTTTGCGTTAGTGTGTTCTTCAGTTGTCACTCGTTTTTTGTTATTTCCGAGTATTCCTCTTTCGAGTTCAGTTTCGCTGCTCCTTACTGTTCAAGTTTTGGTTCATACATTTTTGTTGTCTCGATGTCCGCATGTGGGTCATTATAACAACACTTTGATGGGAACAACATGTACTGGAAGAAAGGAAACAGGGTGCAGTGGTACAGACTTGCAAATACTTTTTTTTGGCCTCATATTAAAAGTGCTACTTCACAATAACAAAATAACAGAATCAATGGCTTACTTGTCATTAGATCTACAGATCTCATGGTTACATACACTACAGCCCTCAGTCTGATAAGACATAGATGTCCCCCTGGAACTGATTTATACAATGATCAAAATCATCCACCTGCAACCACTGTCCAATTTGGCTAAATGTATTAACTTTCCATCCACTACAAACCTAATGTTCTTAATAGAACTTTTTCGAAGCGTGCAAATGTGCAGGAGTTGTTTGCACCCTTCTGTTGATGTAACCTGCTTAACATGGATGTATATCTTGTTGCTTAATCCCAATTGGCATTGCCTTTTGAAATCCAGTTTCCTCTTCCTATGCCCTAATAAGGAGTTGATCCGCCTGCCAGTGGCGCACAGTGCCAAACGTTTCGCCCTGTGCACTTCTTTCACACTCCCTGTTTCCTTAGTCAGACATGTAATGCACTATTTTGTTTGCCAAAAAAAAAAGAAAAAAAGGCGGGGAGTCATTCAAGCCCTCGTTTATTGTTCACATCATGACAAAAGCCTAGCATATCCTTTAGGGAAAACCGAGATGGTGCAATTTAATTTGCCAAACAAAACAGGACGCTATCAAAGTACTGACTCATCAACGCAGAAAGCACGAATAAACACACATGCACACGCAGACACACTCTCTTACCTCCGGGGCGTTCATGGTTGCGATCGGTGTGCAGCAACATGGCAATGGGCATTCCAACATTTTTGGAGCGTCCGGCGACCAGGACATTCTTTCCCACAGTGTCAATCCCTGCACAAACGTAGTTTAAGGGGAAAAAATGTTTGAACAAATGCTTTATGTGCATGTAATAATGGTCCTCTATTTGGCCAACATCCCAGCCTGGGGCCCCTTTGCTCCATCCTCATCTCCATCTTCTTTTTAAAATATCAGCCACTTCTGCGAGAAACTATCTGAGGGACTATCATTTCTAGTCAAAGCAAGGCGATTACTACACTGATTACTATACTTTGGCTCGACATGAAAAGGGCTGTTCATGCTCGTGAATCTTCCACCTCTGCTGCATTAAAGCAATTCCACAAAGCAAAGTGATTTAAACTCCTACCAAAATAATGTCAGACAATGATCTCAAAGTAGTCCTCAAGTCCTTGTAGTCAGTTGTTGCTGCTATCAATTTTAACAATTGATAGCAATTACACAACCGTAGATATTTTAATGGATCTGCATACATACTATTAGCCCTTAGAAAGCCAACATTGTTTCCTTAGGCTTGATGTAAAATTTTGCTTCAGATCAGACTTTTTTTTCTACTTAAATTCTTTATTCAGGGTCTTTATTTCAACGAAGCTTTAAAGAGCCCTCCAAGTAACCCCAACCAAGAAGAGGGAAGGGAATTACAAAAATGTTCAGATTGCCGATGGCAAAGAGATAAAAGCTTGAATAAACAATCCCGTCACAAAAAGCCTCCAACGTCTTCAAGGTTCTGGTCTGCCTTCTTGTGATCAAGGCATCTCTGATTCCTGGCAGAAGCATGCGAGCAACTCTACACCACTCCACCCATAGGCGATTATCTGAAGTGAACCAGATCAGCAGCAAGGTTTGACTGAAGGTTGAGCTTTTTTATAACCATGGACAAAACAGTTTTCACTGGGTTTTTGTCATTAATCTCCCATAGAAGCCATGTTTTCTCAAATCAAGATAATAGAACTTGAACTCTTTCAAAGTATGCCTGGTAATGACAGAAAGTTTTTTGAATGTTTGATTTTATCCAATTATGTGTTAATCAAACATACTCTCATAGATTATCACAAAAAAATCTGACTGCAATCTAGGTTATATTAAGTTGCTGAATGACACAATGGATCATTTTAGAAAGGAGAATGCAGAGAGGCAGCATCCAGTAGGCTCTACATGATAACAAATTAACACAATTATTTTTTCACCACATCATCAAACAATTATAGTGATATAATGTCTTATTTGTATTTGTAGATGTGAAATAGCTACTATGAAATGTTAGCAATGCAAAATTATGACAAACTGTACTGTGAAGGTTTTTTTCAGGTTGAACAGATCATTACTGCCCTCTAGTGGACCATATTTTTGCTGCAAGTATGAAACAGAGAAAACTGGGGGTTTTACCTGCTCTTTTGATCATCTCCCAGACAGCTGCAGGTGTTGCAGGTACCATGGATCTCTGGTCCAGGCACAACTTCCCAATATTCACAATATGGAAGCCATCCACATCTTTTTCTGGAGCGATAGCATTACATACCGCTCTCTCATTGATATGCTCTAGAGAAAGTAGAGATCAGACAGGTTGCTTGTTCGCAATTAAACCTTGATAACAATTTCTACAGCACAACATTGTTTTTAAAACTGATTTTCGATATCTGCTTTATAAAACACTGTTTTAAAAAAAGAGATGCACCTTAAGAGTGATCTGCAAGTAATTTGCAACAAGTTCACAATGAACATTACAACTCAATTTCACTAGTCTGCTTTAAATTCTGTGTGGTTTGGGAGCTTAAATATCATGGCCCTTAAATCTTCTTAAAAGTTCTGGCTCCTTGGAAAAAGGTTTCCAAAAATCTTTCAAATGTTTTTGTCAAAAATTAATGTTTTTATAACTGATGTGTTTCCAATTAATCTAATTAGCTGTGAGATGTTCATCCTTGTTTCAGATGCATTCAAAATGCCTAATTCTGGCTGCTTGATATGAAAAACTGTAAATGTAGCACGCTGAACATGTCCAAGCATTGTCAAAATTGACAAATCACTCATAGAAAGCTAAGCTAATGCTCCATAAAGGTCAGCCGACAGTCTGAATCGAATCAACTCCTATGTGGGAGGGGTGTCCTTTTCCTACCTGGAAGCGGCAGCTGCACCAAGAGGCCACTGACCCTCCAGTCCCGATTCATCCGGTCTATCAGCTCCAACAACTCCTCCTGGGACGCTGAACTAGGGCGCACTACTGTGTCACTGGAAATACCTGGAGACATACACATCGCACAAGCCAGGTAGAAAATGTAACCTTAAGACATCTAACAATTCTAGTTTAGCTTTTTTTCTAAATGTTATTTGATTTGATCTGATCTGCACAAGATGGCACACATTGTTCATATCTGACCCAGGATGTTGGCTGCCCGGGTCTTGTTCCGAACATAGGTACGACTGGCCGGGTCATCTCCGACTAATATCACTCCCAGGTGGGGTCTCATGTTACCCTGAGCTACCAGCTCTTCCACGTCACGCTGGATTTCTCTGTGCAGCTGACGAGCCATTTCTGTTCCTGAAATCACCACAGCAGCATGCCTGGAGAGGGAGAAGGACACAGTACATACTACACCCATGTGTTGAACACAAACAAAACTAAAGCCATACATTTGCATAATGAGTTGGTTGAATTCAACATATGAAAGCCAACATTTGTGAGACACTGACATTTTTAAGCAAAAAAATTATCACAGTAACATGTTTTCATTTCTGTTTCTTCCATATTCTTTTTGAGGTAGTGCATTATTAGATTTAGCATTTAGACACTGGGTGTTTTTCTTTTTTTTTTACTTCAAACAGGCCAAATGATTGATTATTAAAATAAGGTAGACAACAATAAGACACAAAAAAGTGTTGAACCCTTATTTATGTACCGTACATATGACATAACCTGCAAAAAACACAAATATCCATTTTCCAACAGGCAAACTGATCTACCACCTCTTGCGTTTTTGCGAAGCTTGGTCCAAAGCATAAATAAAACAACACATCTGTACATCAACACAGACTCTCAGAGAAGTGAAGTGTTTTTACTGACAGTGAGATCATCAATATTTCCTTCAACTTTTGATTTTGACAGGTTTAAATTTCGATGACAATCAAATAGACTTTAGCACTTTCTAAACACTTACTGTGACCCACCTATATCTAACATACTTCCTGTTTTTGTACATGTTTAATAAAGTTTTGTCTTTAATTTATCTTTTATTGAAGCTGTATTTAATTACATATTTAATTATTTAATGGCACATTCATCTAATTATGCTTTTCCCAATTTCATGTGGCATTTCATTAATCAATGGTAGTGTTACAGGTATGTATTTATGTATATAATTAAATTAGGTTTGACACCCCTACCCCCACCATACATAAACAAAATAACGGTAGCTAACCGTTATCTTGTCTGTCACGTGACATATGGGGCATCGTGTTATCTGACTGCATTCTCTACCAGGTTACACAAATGCTGTCAGTCCTCGCCAGTAAGTCATTACCAGGTAAACTACGCTTAGTTATATTGCTAGATAAAACTGACGTTTGGACAAGACTTAAATTTAGTGTCCTATCGTTCTCCATCTGACAAACCGGCGGACTCTTCCGCAAACGGTGAAACCTGCTGTCAGTCCTCATCTGTCACGTGACATACACCGGCGCTGGAGAGCCGAGTTCGTCCCCCCGCGAGATAATACCGCGAGATAGCGTCATTTTAAAGGAAAATATCAACGGTATTTTAAACCCTGCGCCTTTTACCTCGTCGCTGACTGGTGTAGATGTCTCCTCTGGCTGTCATATTTTCTACGCATCCGTAGTGTGGCGTGGCAGCAGTGATAGTGGGCATTCAACGGGATGCAAATCCTTATGCGGGAGCGTAGGGGTGAGATAGAGGCCGCCATGTTTATGTGCGCGTCGGGGAGCGCGTGTGCGCCGCGTGTGTTCGCGTGCACGGGGGAGAAAGGGAGACAGGGAGAGAGGACAGGAGTGTGAAGAATGTCAGTCTGTGCTGCCAGTAATCTACACATACATTAGCTTGTGTGGTGACCATAACTTGTAGATATCTGTATGTTATGTAAACGGACTGAAATGCAAAACTGTTCTGAGAATAGAGCTAAATAAAGAACCTAGCTGTGTCATTTGATATGGTCACATGAAAGCTAGTGTTGGAAAAGATGACTTACATTGAAGATAGATAGATAGATAGATAGATAGATAGATAGATAGATAGATAGATAGATAGATAGATAGATAGATA